GCACTTTCAAGTCATAGTGTAATTGCCATTGTACCTTCTTATATTCCAAGTCTTCATGGCCTAAGCTGGGAAGATTCCATATTTGTGGCTTTCCTCTAGAATTTAATTTCCTTGAGATATTTTAATATTGCAAGACTGATTTAGTAATCTAACAAAGATTAGAGGAAGACCAGTGAGGGAGAGCAAGGGGTTGTTGTGGTAGTGCAGAAGTGAGTAGATGACTGAGATGGGTTCACCAGGATGGATGCAGCATGTTCAGGTCACAGGTGTGAAGGCCAGACACCTTTATGTGTGTGACAGCACCTTATGTTGTAAGGCAAGGCAGTGAGGCAAAAGACCAGCCTGGCTGAACAGGGAATTCTTCAGGAGCTCTTGCTTCAGTCTTTAATAGTACTGATAGAATTTGGGCTACTGTGCTGTGGAAAGGGACCTGGGGCTCCTGCCAATGGCAAACTGAATGTGGGTCAGCAGTGCCCTGCAGCCAGGAGGGCCAGGCCTGTCCTGAGGCCCAGCCAGGAGGGCCAGGCCTGTCCTGAGGCCCAGCCAGGAGAGCCAGGCCTGTCCTGAGGCCCAGCCAGGAGGGCCAGGCCTGTCCTGAGGCCCAGCCAGGAGAGCCAGGCCTGTCCTGAGGGCATCAGGCCCAGCCAGGAGGGCCAGGCCTGTCCTGAGGCCCAGCCAGGAGGGCCAGGCCTGTCCTGAGGCCCAGCCAGGAGGGCCAGGCCTGTCCTGAGGCCCAGCCAGGAGGGCCAGGCCTGTCCTGAGGCCCAGCCAGGAGAGCCTGCCCTGTCTGGGGACATCAGGTGTGAGGGTTTCCAGGATGAGGTGAGACATTCATCTGACTCTATATATTTTAGAAGGTTGATTTATTATATTATGATGTGATGTTATATGATATGAAAATGATATATTAAAACTATACTAAAGAAAGAGAAAGACATTAGAAGGCTAGCAAAGAATGAATAATAAAAACCCATGACTGACTAGAGTCTTGACACAGCTGGCTGTGATTGGTCATTAATTAAAAACAATTCACATGGCAGCAATCAAAGATGCACTTGTTGGTAAGCAACCTCCAGACCCCATTCCAAGCAATCAGATAATTATTGTTTGCATTTCTTTTCTGAGGCTTCTCAGCTTCTCAAGAGAAAATCCTGGTGAAGGGATTTTTCATAAAATATAACCGTGACAACAGAGGTGGCTGGCACTGGAACAGGCTCCCCAGGGAAGTGGCCACCACAGCGAGTCTGACAGAGTTGAGGAAGTGTTTGGGCCATGCTCTCAGACACGTGGTGTGACTCTTGTGGTGTCCTGTGCAGGGCCAGTGATTGAACTTTGATGATCCTTGTGGGTCCCTCCCACCCCAGCATGTTGTATTCTATGATCAGGCTTTAGGCACAGGGCAAGATGAACAAGACTGATCAGGCTAAGTGTAGCTGTGGTAAGGAGAGAAAGGTAAAGCCATAAAAGATGGCCAGCACAGTACATTGCTCCATGAATACTAAACCAGTGGCAATCCTGTTTTTCAGTCTCCTTTTGTGCTTTTTAAGAGAAAAAGTGATTTCTTTTACTTCCTGTTGCTAACATCAACTTGGCAACGCAGTGATTGATGTGTGGGTTCTTGACTGTGCCTGGCAATGAGATGGACACACTTGGCAGAGAACTGGATGGGGCCCTAAGTGACCCTTGCCATGTGTTACCTCCAAGTAACACAGGTGGAGAGTGGTTCCTGCAGTTCCAAGCAGCAGCACACCATGCATAGTTTAACAGTACACTCTAACAGTTTCACAGCTCATGAAGATACATGCAAAATTAATCCCTGCAGAACAAAACAATTGAAAAAGTACATAATGAAGCAATTAGCTAAAAGAGGAAGACAAGTAATGACCATTTAATTTGTGAAGAATCTTTACATGGATTAGGTTTTCAATAAGAGTGTTCTATGAAGGCACAATTAATGTAAAATGAGGCCTGTGAGGCAATTAATGATGACTTCAAAAGTTAGATTTAAGGGATAATTTACATATTAAAACTGAAGAGCAGCTCTAGTTATGTTAAAGTCTTTTATTTTTCTTTTAAAAAGCCTTTTAGATTGTGAGGGGGTGTTTTTGTAGGTTACTTAGAGTTTCACATTAATCTGTCAGCTTGGTTATGAAAAAAGGCTGTTCTTCCATACAAATAAATAAGTTTACCTGAAAGTAAGTATGACAGGATTGTGTGATGATCAGACATATTTAGTAAAGGTTAACTGAATTCAGTGGAGATATTACCTAAATAAATATTAACATATTCCATCCAGTGGGTACAGTTTCTAGCTCTGCAGAGGCAGATACCCAGTAACAAATGTGCACGACAATCCAAAAACTTCTAGGGTGTGATGAAAAAGCCACTGATAGCAACTAGAAATATGAGCCTTGATTTCAGTGATCTTTGTGTCTGACACTCTCTCTGTCCTTTCTGCAGTCACCTGTCCAGATACCAAAATAAAAATGCAGATTCAAAATGATTATGGTATGAAATGCAAATAGTTTATTCCTGCTTGTCTGTAGAACATCAGGCTCATTACTTTTATCAGTAAACAATTAATGGTAATGACAAAGGATGACAAGATTTTACAATAAATTGTTCCCAAAAATATATTTCAAAGATACTGGTAACTAATTAGTTTGTATCCACAGTAGTAATTAATTTACACTGACTGTTTTTTTAACTTTGGGGCATCTTTAATGAGTACTTCTAATTTTGTAATCTGATAAAAGCAGCTCAGCCACGAGGGTTTGCAGGCACACTGCCTTCTCTGTGCAGACCTCAGGCCACAGAATGCACTTCTCAGAGTTACAGCCAAGCCTGCTCATCTGTTTCCAGCAACTGATATGTGTAATTAAGAAAACAATGCAACCCCCCTTTATGTTCTTACATCATGTTTTCTGTAGTGACAACATGCTGAAATGGAATATCCCTTCCTGTTAGTTAAAGATTTAAATAACCAACAATTTCCCTTTATGTTTTCTAGTAGTAATTTCAGGTAAGAGGTAAACGAGCTGCAAGAAAAGGTTCATCTGTAGGGTGTCCTAACAATCCCTTTGTAAGATCATCTTGACCTTTTAGCCTTGCTCGGTCACTACCTCAGTTTCTCCAAAAAAAAAAAATGTCTAACTAGATCATATACATGTCTAAAATAGTTGCTCTGGGCCTGTCTAGAAAGTGCATTCTTCATGTTTAACAGTTTTCTAAGGCATCAGTTTTGTTTGCAGGAATGTTAATAACCTGAGTTGTGGATGCAGAGTGATCTTGTTATAGTTCTTAGAGTTTACTTCAGTCATAACCATCCATTCTGGAAATGTGCTCTGCCAGTTCCTTTATTACCCTGCTCTCCTCCTGTAGGGCATAACTAAACTATTGAGCTTTTCTCTGTTCAACCTCTTAAAACTTCCACTCACCTCACTTCAGCCAGCTCAAGCTTGTTACTGTTTCTGTGGGGTGAGAACAATGAAACTTCATTAAGGGGGCAAAACCTGGGCTTAGTCTAAACCATTAATGGTAACGTAATTAACTTGAGTGCAGCTCTGGCAGGTTACATCTGCCCTGGCAGTGCTACAGGAGGGTAAACTGGGCACACAGTCTTGCCCAGAACACCACCATTTGTTGTGGTTGTATTCAATCCCTGAATTGACTACTTACAGCATTCCATTTTTTTTTAAATTTTATTTTATTTATTACATGAAGCTCCGAAATCTTTCATCAGACCTGGCTTGTTCTGCTTTTCTGCTTTCTCTCTTATTTTACCAGAGTGTTCACAAAGGAGAACACTCACACATAAAACAGTTCACAACACCAACAATGAACAAATACCAGGAAAATCTGGGCACCAAAACGATTCCCAAATAGACCCAGCAGAATTTCCAGTTTCCCTTTTGTTACAGACAAATAGAATAGTTACAGTAAATGGCAGGGGCATTAATTTGGTGCTTCTGTCCACTCTTGTCTGTTGTGACTCTGCCACCACTGAGTTACCACAGACTTAAAACCTGGAGCACGATGTTTCCCTTTAATCTTTCTCATGGTCCTTCCGAGAAAAAGGTCTGATTGTAGCAAAATAAATTCTATTTGTGATTAGCAATCAGGCAGTCCTGGTATAATCCTGTGTTACCTTCCTGGGCTTACACGTAACCTGCCAATCTGAAAGGGGACATATCCCCTCCATCCTTCCCCTTCTTTCCTTTCTTCCAGAGAAACCTTCCACATATCTTTGTAGTCAAACAGAGTAGAAAGAATTTGTATAACATAATGAACTCATGTCTTTGGTCCCAGGTGTAATCCCTGAGGCCTTTGAGGGCCCTTCTTTGCTAGAAATACAGAGCAGCCAGTGTCTGTCCCTTTTCCTTGTCTCTTGTATCTGTGTGTATGGACTTAGAAAATGTAAAATGAGAACAAATGCCTTGAAATGTGGCCATTCTGTTCTCTCTCATGCCTGTATCTGTCACCAGTTGCTAACAACTTTTTCTTTCTATATAGTATCTGCTTCAAGTGTGGATTTTAGCATTTGTTTGCAGAAAACCTTAATTTATCTTTGTATCTGTCCTATAAAAGACGGAGATGCTCTGAACTCCTGTGCTGCTGTTCTCTTTTATTCCCTCTCCAGTGAGGTGTTATCCTCAGATGAAACAGTCTAATCAGAGCTGATGGCCATATTCAAGCCAGTCCCAGGGGGTCTATCTTCCTCTTTGAAGACCCTCAGAAACAGAAGGAAAAAGTCCCATGATGAGACAATAATCAGTTGTATTTGCATATTTCCTCTTAAATACTTAACCAATATTTAAGCAGTTAATTGTTAATTTAGACCAACTTTTAAAATGTTGTCTTGCTTCCTGCATGAAAGGAGATCCTTTCAAAGCCACCATGGGGTCAGCCTATTCAGCATATTTATCTTTGCCATTAGCTTTTGGGTGAAAGTGCTGCTTCTGTGTAGAGGCCACAAATGCTGTTTGTGCTTCCTGTTGCAGAATGTTCATTACACGAGCAGTCAGCAGCTCCACGTGGGTGTTCTGAGCCCCACCATCGACGACGATGACAACAGATGCCTGGTGGATGTCAGCAGCAGGCCCAGGCTCATGGAATGCAATTATGCCAAAGCCAAGAGAATGAAGCTTTACTGGCAATTTACTCAGGTAATTTTTGCCCAGCAGCCATTTCAGAAAGTTTTAAAGCTCTGTTTCTGTGTTGAAGTGTGAGTAATCTGTTTATTAGCAGAACAGAACCAGATTTATCCTCGCTTGGTTTGCACAGAGCCAGGAAGCTCTGTGCAGGTTTCGTTTTGATCCCAATGTCAGCTACCTCAGTAGGGTACAAAACTTGTATTATATTTTCTGAGTTCACCATGAATAACTCCTAAGGCACAGCACTGTTATGGGGAGTGGAAAAAAAGGTTATTTCAGTGGAGTCAAATGCAAAGTAACCTATTTAGGAAAGAGGAACAGAAATCTGTATGGTTTTCTTTTAGAAGTAGCTGTCACAAATGGTGGTAGTGGCTCATTGGTGCTAACAGCCTCATAATGAGCTAGTTCTGCAGTTTCTTTTGTAAAAAGGCTCAGGCTTTTACACATGAGTGTGAGAGAGGCAGAAAGAGGCTCGAGGAAAGGCTGGGAGGTGCTTTCACAGGGATGAGAATGCTGATAGGACACTAAGGCCAGGCCTGGTGTCTGCATTCCTAACTGATTTAGAAACATGAGGGAGAGTAAAGAATCCACACAAGTTCTGGGGCTGGAAAAGGTGCTCCAACACTTAGGGAGATCACTCTGGTTTAGCTAAGAGGAAACAGCAGGGTGACTCAAGGCATCTCAGTGCTTCCACAGTGGAACACTTCCAACCACTGGAACCTGTTTTGGCTTCAGGCTAACCTATACCCTGAGGACAAAACAGGTTCCAATGGTTGGAAGCCAAAGACAGTCAAATTCTGTTTTTCAAAGAAAGATGAGTTTTTCCTAAGGTAAGTTTAACACAGTGGAACTTTGCCATGTCAGGTGCTGGCAAGCAGATTTGTGGTGGTTAGTGGTGAAAAAGCCATTTTCAATAACTAGACACTATGATCAGAGTCCCAGGGAGCTCAGCCTAAATTCCGTGTTAGAATATGCAGATCAATTGAAATACTGGTGCAAATTCATTTCCTAATTTTCTTCACTTTGCACTCAATTTATTTCTTAGGCCCTAGAGACTGGTTTAATCATAAGCATATAATGATAATGCAAGTAGTTCAGTTTCTGGGTTAAAATGCATTAATCCTCCTTCTTATGAAGCATTCAGATTAGAAAACTTAGATTACTTAAATACAACACACACACAAACGAAATAAAATCATCATTCAGTATTTTTGTTTTCCAAGGGAGTTATTTCTCACAAATAATCTCATCTAAACCCCATAAACCTTTGGAAGTCTGTTAACATGTCTGGGAAAGAGATAAAAATCTTGGGTTTCCTAGTTGTGCTGAAAGGAGTTTCTCATTTATCTGGCTGAAGAAGAGTACCTAGGTATAACCTATGCTAAGGCTGGTAAATAGCAATGTGAAGTTGTGTTCCTCACATCACTTGTGCTATATTAGGACAATATTTTCATCCATGGAGAGAAAAAGAGAGAGAGCAAGGCAGTGAGGTGCTCCTAGGCATGAGCTGCAGCTGCAGGATGTGAATGTGTATAGGTTTGGACCCCTCACTGTCAGCAGGACATGGAGATGCTGGGAGGTGCCCAGAGCAGGGCAGCAGAGCTGGTGACAGGTCTGGAGCACGAGGCTGAGGGAGATGGGGATGTGGTGTTTGTGAGGGTCCCCAGGACGAGGTGAGAGATGAAAATCTGACTCCATGTTCCCAGAGGGCTGATTTATTATGATAGGCTATGCTGTTATTCTATTCTATTCTATTCTAGAATGCTATACTAAAACTATACTAAAGAAAGAGAAAGGATCCATCAGAAGGCTTCACAAGAATGAATAATAATAAAAACTTGAGACTCCTCAGAGCCTCAGCACAGCTGGACCATGATTGGCCATTAAATTAAAACAATTCACGTGGAACCAATCAAACATTCACCTGTTGGTAAACAATGCCCAAGCCACATTCCAAAGCAGCAAACACAGGAGCAGCCATCAGATAATTATTGTTTTCCTTCCTCCCTGAGGCTTCTCAGCTTCCCAGGAGAAAATCCTGGGCAAAGAGGATTTTTCAAAAAATGCCATGGTGGCATGGGGGTGTATAGTCAGAAGAAAAGGAGGCTCCTGGGGCCCTCATTGCTCTTTGTGAGGGGAGGCTGTAGCCAGGTGGGTGTTGGTATCTTTTCTCAGAGCTAGGAGGAGAGGAAATGGCCTCGAGCTGTGCCAGAGGAGGTTTAGATTGGATATCAGGGAAGGGTTGTCAGGCAGGGGAATAGGCTGCCCAGGGAAGTGGTGCAGTCCCCATTCCTGGATATTGAAAAGACACCTAAAAGTGGCACTTAGGGACATGGTTTGGTTTGGTTATGAAATCGATAGTGTTGAATTAATAGTTGAACTCAATGATCTAAAAGGACACTTCTGTAATTCTATGTACCACAGTGATATTACTTTTATTAAAACCAAATAGGAAGGCAAAACCTAGGAATATACAATTTGCTGCATCACAGATCACAAAATTAATGAAGTGGATTATTTACCTATTCCAGAAGACTGTCCCAGGCAATGGGCAGTGCTTGCAGTTTCACAGAAATGAGCTGTTGTGAGCCAGCAATTCACTGTAAGTCCAAGAGGAGGATTTCCTTCTTGACCCCTGATTTGCTCTCTTGGAGAAGATTGAGGCTTGATTTGTCTGAATGATCATCTCAGCATGCCTAAAAAGAGCTATCAGCACTCTTAAAATTAACTCAGCCATCAGAAACATCTAGTCAGTCACTGAACACTGATGTCTGAGACAGGGAATTCAACAGGTTTCCTGTACTCTGATAAATCACCAATAGCTGTAGCAAATTTTTAACCTAACACTTATTTTTTCCTTAGAAGCTTTGTTCACCAGTTCCTCACTGCTATTCACAGGTATGCATCCTTTGGAATGCTAAAGGCAGGTCCCACTGATGTCCATTCCCCTACTAAGCAAAGTCCTGGTTTTATTTCATGTTACTGTATTTTGTAATTCCCCACCATCTGAACAGTCCATCGCACTTCAAAACAGCTTTGTTGCCTTCCTCTGTCTTACACTTTGAACATCTTGAAGCAGGCCTAGATCACAGCAGATAAATCAAGCCTGAGTTGTTTGCAGAAATAATTTATGTAATCTCAGAATGAAAAAGGTAACTTTTCTGAGAGTTTCACAAAATGCAGTGCTAAAACAAATAAAGCAAATGTCTCCAGCACTCCTGGTTTTTTCTTGGTTGTATCAAGGTATTGTTTCACTACAAAAGCAGCTGTTGCATGGCACAATAAATGAAAAGATAGGAAAGAATTCTGGATTTAGTTAGAGAAGAGTTACCCTGCAGAAAACATTGGGCAAAGCATTAACTTTGGATATTTTCCATAGGTTAAGTCTCACATATGACTCCAGAAGTGTTTAAAATGCAGGATTTGCCTATATCCAACTCTTCTACTAGAGGGAGTATAAAATGTAGCAGTTGTTGCTGTGAACTGACATAGTTTAGAAACACATCTTAAGTTCTAGGTTAGTGCTTGAGTATCAGAGCTGGAGCACAGAGTAGCCAGTGAGCCCTGAATGTGGTGGGTTCTGCATATGGAGGTTTCTGAGTGCTGCCCAGTAGCATAAGCAGGCAGATTAGGGCAAGGGAGGACACAAAAGACAAGTGTGAACATCATCCCCTTTAGTGATGAGGAAAATAAAATCAGAAATACCCATCTGTGAATCATCCCCCATCAGCATGCATCTCTGCAGCTTACTCCTTCAAGTTCCCAAACAGGCAGTTCTTGCTGAGTGCTGGTAGGGGTTGCTCAGGACAGCTGTGGTCGGAAAAGCCCAGCACAGCATCCTCAGCTGCAGGGCATGGAGCCAGTCCTTCCTTTTCACAAACGGCTTGCTAGGCAACCCTGGCTCTCAGAGCATCAACACAACCCAGCATCATCTGGGTTTGCTGCCCCATAAAAACCAACAATGCATGCAGCTCTAAGTTCTGCATTTCCCATCATTATCAGGGCCATGTAGGGATAAAGGATTCCCTTTTTAATCTGCTTTCCACTCTGCCACAGCCACCCCCCAGCCCTGAGACAGTGTTCAGTAATTAATTACAAAAATCTCATCATACACCTAGAATAGCTGTTTCTGCGTGTTTTTCTAGCATGTCAGGAAGATTTCCTGGCCCCTGCTGATTGAGTAATAATTCATGTTTACTTTCTGTAAAATATCTTAGTCTGGCTAATGTATTCTTCTCCAAAAGTTCTGGTTTTGTAGTTTTATCCCAATTTTCTGTAGTGAAACACATTTCCAGCTGTGATATCCTGAAGAGCTTCTTGGTATTTCAGTAAAGGCTTGAATTTAATTATTTTCAAGTTATTATTTTTCTTAATCTTGCTATTACCAGGACTGCAACCTGTTAGAAATCTGTGATAATTTTTTTTATATGTGGAGAAATGTTAGTGATAGGTATAGATCCACGTGTTCCATTTCTGATTTTTATGCTGCATCTCTCTAATTTCTTTTCTATTCCAATTACATTCTCTGAATGAAGCTGCATTTCCTTGTGCCAGGTTTAATTGCTTTTATTTTAAAACCTTAATTAACAGTATAGTGTATTTCTACATCCTGGAGAGAGTAAGCAAATCAGACCATCCAGTCTAGAGTAAAGAAAACAGAAAATGATTGCACAGATGTCTAGTTATTAAATCCTGCTCTGGACATGCAGATGAGGCTGCTTCATTTGATTTGTCACAGCTGCAGTATTAAAAATTTAGTGCAGCATTAGGAAAATGTAGCATTTATGATCATGTAAAACCTGAACACTCAGATGTCTTGGGAAAGGAATGAGACAAAATTGTGATGCAGACATTGAAGCTGTGTAACTGTTGAATGGTGTGCCTGATCCCTCTGTCAGAGGATGTTTCACAGTGTTTACACACTGAGTACCAGCAAGTGGATGCCAGTGCTTGGGTGGCTACCTGACAACAGAACTGGAGTGCAGGAGGAGGGAAAGAGTTTACATTTCCCT